TGGCAAAGCTAAAATGAGCGTAAAATTAAACAAAAGCTAAAAGAGAAATAACTAATAGCTAAAGTTGTCCAAATTCTAGCTAACAGCTAAAACTTGTCAAACCATATGAAGCTAAAATAGTCAAAACCAGACAAAATCAAAAATTAGCAACACTGTGAAAAAGCCAAAGTTGGCAAAACGTTTGGTAGAAGCAAGAATTAGCAAAGTAGTAGCTAAAAGCTGCAGTTTAAAAAATAGAAGCTAAATGATGAAGCCAGCAGAACAGTAGCTAAAAGCTAAAATCAGCAAAACCAAAGACAAAATCAAAAATTAGCAACACAGTCTCTAAAAGAAAACTTGAAGTAGAAGCTAAAATTGGCCAAACAGTAGCTAAAAGCTAAATGGGGCATAGCAAAGACAGAAATGGAGAAAAGAAATGCTGAAACCGATTTCAGAGAACACTTTGAAAGAGCTGAAGAGAACTCAGTGTTTTTAGGGGAGATTTTTGTAAATAAAGTTTAACATTTTGTAAAGCTTACAGTTCACAAAGTTCAAAGGTCACAGTCTTCCTAAATGAGCTGAATGTTTTGCTATTTGAATACTTAAAACAGCAGAGAGTATGAGGAAGTGGATACTATAAACAGGAAATCTCTAAATTCACACAATCAGACCACCAAAACCATCAAAACTCCAGTCCAAACCCTAACATTGCTTCATTTTTTTAAACTCAAATCCTCACAGGAACTGCTCCTGTGAGCACAAATGGTGTAAAGCTCTCAGAGACAGTTTTCCTGTCACAGAGCCAACTGACATTATGTGAGCTGCTCACTGAGGGTCAGAGAGGTATATGACCACTGGTTATTACCCTTCAGTAAAGTGTGTCCACTCGACTTTACACAGGGAGAAAACTAACAAATGGTGCGACGTACTGAGCAGCCACCGGAGCAGGTTTACAGCAGTTTAGTTAGAGAATAGTTTCTTTTACAACTAACTCCAAAACAAAATGAACATCTGCATAAGATACTGAAGGTGCTTTCCATTTGATGCAGATTTATATGCAGCACAGTTATCACAAGAAGAAGGCAGTTGTACTCAAAACATCTCAAAACTAAAAGAGGGTCTTGATGTGGACGAAATAAACTGTGTTAATGAGCGCGAAGCAAAAAGAGCCAGGAAAAGCTAAAAAAAACTGCTTGACCTCTTGATCTTTGTTTAATGAGACTGAAATGTTCATAACCCTCCTAGACAGGTGTCCTTGTTGCTTGGAAGTGTGCCAGCTTTGGACCCAGATATGGGCAGACACAAAGAAACATGTAGGGACAAACGAAACTGCTTTTTATTTAAACAAAATTAAACAAAAAGCTGTTGCGCAAAACGAGGACTCGTGAAGAATGGTAGCCAAGACAACGATATGCTGAGGTGGAGATGGAGGGAGGCTGACTACACAGAGCTGGGTTGATGAGTTCTGGGAGGCAGCGGAGCTGATTGGAGGCTGGCAACAGGTGCCTGGAAAAAAAACACTGAGAAGCTGGCTGAGGGTGAAATGAGGAATGGCACAGGGAGCAGGAAGTAACAGGTGGATAGCATGACAAACCAAACACACAGACTATGATCTAAACAGAACTGAAGTAACACAACACAAAAAAGACAAACACAAGAAATACAAGATACAATAAATGAATAAATAAATATAAAATAAAAAAGGGAAGTAAACCAGAGTCTGAACAGAGAAGCATAAAACAATTGCACAATTTGAACTGCAAGGCCTGGCTTCAGTTATTAGCCCTTATTGCCTAGCTTGGTAAAAACCAGACCCTTGTCCTTCGCTTTGCTTCATACGAGGGTCTGGACTCGCTGCTATAGAGAAGTGATTCTTGCTGGAGGAGTGGCCTCTGTTATAGTTTAAAATGATTGAAAAAAATAATAATAAAAATTTAATTGAATTAAATTAAAACAGCACCAATGGGTTTCTCAAACTAATAAACAATCAAACAAACAAACAAACTGAGAGGCTTTGGAACAAAGAGTTAAAATAAAAACTTTCTGCAGGAGGACTGTTGGAATCTCAAAGCTGTAAAAAAAATAAGTAAATAAAAAAAATCTTTGGATCGGTTGGCCGTGACGAATGCCAGCTTCACTGTGAAGGAGGCTAAGCTAAGAAGCTAACCAGAAATTGCGTGCGCTGTAAACAACCCTACTGAGAGGAGAGAAGTACCGAGCCGAACGAGACGACTGTAAATGAGAGCTGCTGATTTGTCAGACAAATTTATTTTAATTTGGAAGCCTTATCAACACAGACTAGTTTCAGTCACTTCCTCCACTGCCGTATGCTAACTAACTAGCAGACACTGTGCAGACAATCCATGTCTTTCAAAACTCCGCCTTCTGTTTTCTGATTGGCCTAAACAAAATTTTCCCGAAGAAATCCTTGTCTAATGGGAGAAGTCCCAGACGGAGCAATGAAGGGAAACTAGAAATAGAGCGGAACTGCGTAGGAAGGRGAGGGCCAGGCTACTTATTGCCCAGTTCCACCTCGATTTCTGGAACCGTGGTTGAGTAATAGCAGCTCATTGATTGGACCACTGATCGCGGGGTTGTTACAGAATCGATTGATTTTAAAAGATTTTTTTTGCAGCGACTGCAATTTTATTTTCTCATTAGTTCAACTGAACGACTGTAGCAAGCTACCAAGCAACGACAAACTAACATTAGCTATCGTTAGCTTACTGCTTTCTATTGCTCTTGTAACTATTTAGCACCATACTGCTGGATGGTCTGTTACAACCTTTAGGGCTTTTCCTTCGAGTTTGGTGTAGTCCATAAGTATTATGTCACAAATAAAACAAAAATAAGATTTGTGCGTGTTCAATATTATGATCCCCACTCACATCGTTCTCTGCTCAACGCAAACACAACCGAGGTAGAGTAAGTCCAGGCCGAGTGGGGCTGAGCCGGGCCTTATGCATACATGTCAACCCCTTAAGATGTTTACCTGTATAATGAGCCTCTAAAATCAGAATTTTCTCAAATAAATCTGTTTTAATCATGCTGCAGCAAAGCAGAAGGAAATGAGGACTTCTTCATAGAGGCAGAGAGGGTTGGAAGATGGTTATTTGATGTTATTTATTGTTTTTTTAACGTCTCACAGGCTCTGACGTGAGTTTTTTTTTTAATCCGTAAAACGAGAAAATCCTTGAGATTGCTCTATACGTCTGTATGCATGCAAAATGATGGAAATCTGTGTAAATTACAGACAATCCATACAGCTTGACATTATGCAAAAATGCCTAAAGATCATGACAAAAATTGCTCTTTGTTCAAATAAATCCATTTGATTTTTTTTTCATACTAAAGAGGAGAGGCAACATTCAGATTTGTATCCAGCACTCTGCCTCTCTGCTGCTATGGGGGTGCTTATAGCACCAATGCAGGTTTGAGAGCATGTTCCAACCCAGACATCTTTTTAGTGAAGGTTTTGCATATTTCACTGAGTTAGTACTTCATCCATTTGAACAGCACTGACCTTTTCACAGTTACTGTGTAATATCAGGCACCACTTTCCCAAATATATTCATAGATATCCTGCTTTGCTCTTGGTTTTTATATAGTAACATATTTTATAAATTGGATTCATTAGTATTTTACCAAACTAAATGTCCTCAATATGCTTTAATCACAGGAGAGATTTACCTTCATGCGTTATAAAACATCCCCCCCCCCCCCCGTATGTTCACAGGCTGAGAGAGCATGAAGCATAAGACAGAGATCTCTTTTAATAACTCAAAATGGCTGCAATAAAAGATGGGTTAGTTCAGCACAAAGAGTCATAAAGAAGCTGGCAGATGTTCAGCAGACCTGTAAAAACAGGTCACGATAATAAAACAAACAGAGAAAAATTAAACCAGAGGCCTAGGATGTCTGTTACATCCAGGTTGATTATTTGGTGCCTTGTTATTGCATACTCAAAAGTCCAGTCAATGAATCTGAGCATCAGTTATTTCAAAATAAAACTATTAAATAAAATAATTTAACAAATTGTTTAAACTGATTTTTTTTTCTTATCTGAGAGCTTTAGATGTCATAATGTTGCTTTGAGTACATTTCTAATGACTATTAACTTAACATTAAAAATAAATATCTAAAAAATATCCCATTACCATGATGGTTTCACAATAAAATTAATAAATAATGTTTTTTTATACTGGTACTGTAGACAAATTTTTAAATATGGAAAACTTTCTGTTGCCTTATTAAGCTGGCTTTTGATAAATGTGTTCAATTAACTTAATATTTAATGAATAAAAACCAAACATAATGGTTATAGTTAACTTATATTAAGTGGGTGATACAAATGGCAACATAATACTCCCTGAAAAATAAAGTAGCTCATTAGTATTATTATTTTTATTAATATTTGGTTGCTAATTGTTCAAAAAATTGGCTATGATTGACTTGTAATTAACGCTTTTTCCACAAAAGTCACAACAAAATTGTTTGCAAAGAACCCATGAAACGTAAATTCACTCATTCAAAGAAAATGAAAACGCAGTTTCTAAAAATAAAAAAGGAAGCGAGTTTCAGTTTGGAGCTCCAGTCCAGATCGATAAATCAATGTTATCTCGCTCCTCGGCAGAGTGATTTAATTTACATTTCCGTCTCCCGTCTTCATCTCATTTCATTTCTCCTAATCAGGCAGGCGGCAAAGACGGAGTGTTTCTTCAGTTTTGCAGAAGCTTCACATTTCTTTAGATTCTATATTTTTTTTAAGAAAAGTACTTTGAAATAGAGTCCTTGACATTTCCCTGCTCTGCTTTGTTTTTATGCACAGACCTGAGTGAATGAAAATGATTCAAGGATTGCATTCCCATCCAAACAACCGCTGGCCTTGACTCCATCTGTTTTCATTATATTTGTTGTGCTTGTCATAGCGGTGCTGTTAATGTAATTGAATTGTTTCTCTCTGTCTCACCACAAGTGCCCACATTGACTCAAACCAATTGTCTTGTCCCTGGTCCTGCCAGATGTTGCCCGGGCCATCGAGCTGCTGGAGAAGCTGCAGGAGTCCGGGGACGTTCCGGGCCACAAGCTGCAGTCGCTGAAGAAGGTGCTGCAGAGCGAGTTCTGCACCGCAATCAGAGAGGTGAGTTGGGGGGATCATTTCCCCCCTCTGCTCGTGACCTTTTATCACCTTTTATCCCAGCAAAACTCATATCGCTCTTAGTGTTTTCCTCAAAATCATCCTTGTTGTATTTATTTGATCCTGTCATAAAACTTTCTCCCTTTTATCTCTTTATTCATAGCAAATCCAGTGTTGTTGCTTGGATCTCTCTGGTCACTAATTAGGTACACTGTGACTCAAACACAGAGTTGTGAATCATTCTGTTGCTTTCTTTTTTTTTCTGTTTATAGTTGTTTCCTATTTTTCATTACTGTGGGGGATTTTGTGAAATAACGATGGACTTAATTAAACAGAGAATTGTCACAGGTCCAACAGAGTACAGACAACATAAAACAGAGTATACTTATTTGCACAAGAATCATTTTTATCTGTCAGCACCTAAATTTATAAATGACATGTTCTTTTAACAACATAAGATATATCAACTTCATTAATCAGTCACATTAGATCATTTTTCATCAGCACTACATCTGCATATCAATATATAAATGGAACATATCAAAACAAGTGGCTTAAATAGGAATAGTGCGCTTTTACTTTTAGTTCTTTTAACTTTTACAATATTTTTACAAAACTTTTACCTATAGAAATACACTAAAATTGCTTCATTTTATTCCAAACATCATCTGAAATCTACTTAGCACACTTGCCTTCTTTTGCACCTTTTGGCTTTTGCAGCGTTGTGGTAGCTCAGTGGTCAGTTCTGCTGACTCATAATATTCAGGCTGCAGGTTCAAACCCAGGTTGCACCAGGAAGGATGTTTGATCTAAAACAAGTACCAAATCTTTTATGTGAGTTTGCTCTCTATGGCAACTCGTGAAATACAACTCTCCTTTTAGCTACCTATTAGCTAAATTTAGCTTTTAGCTATGATTTGTTTATTTTACTTTTAGTGACAGTTTTTATGGTGGCAAAATAATGCCAGAACTTTCGCGAGAAAAAAACGACATTTCGCGTGAGCAAATTTAAATCCTGTGCGAGCCTTTTCATACACGCGCGAGAGGGGATTGAGCTCCGCGAGCGGACATCTGCACTCGTGCGCACATTGTCTCCTCGATTTGTCATGGTTCTGACGCCATATGGACGGATTGTCATGACATTTTTACCACATGTGGGTACTGGGCCAAGGAACACACCTTTAAATTTCGGTGATGTTCCAGATCACGATGCAGATACAGGAATTTTTTTTTCTTTTAAAACTCTGAGATCGGCAAAGCTGTGATGCTTTCACAGGGCTTCCGTAAAAAAACAGTGAGCTGGATTGGACAGCACGGACTTCAAGCTTTATAAATGTAATATTAAAACCAGAATTAATGATGATTAATTTTTGCCATAATATGTGCATTTACAGAACGTTTTGTGACCAGGAAGTGCGTGACTGCACC